CGTTTTTTGTTTCACAAAATGTCCTTGAAAACAGATTGACCCTGAAACTTTTCGACTTTAGATCTCAGAAACACAAATCTCTTATCAAGACACGTTCGCTTCATTTCCAAAGACCCCAACTTCCCTGTTGTTTTCATCAATCTCTCCCGAAACTCATTCGTCTCTTTCTCCGTCTCTGCACGTTTCTTCAAACTCATCTCCATTTCGTGCTTCGCAAGTGATAAACCGCGTTCGCATGCTTCTTTCTCCGTAGCTGAAGTCTCGCGTCTTTTAAAGTACCTTGTGGCCTCAAGAACCTCTTCAAGAACGGACCGGAGCCAGCCTGCTCGGATCTTTGCCGTCTCTATGTCCTTAACGATTGCTAGAATCTCACTGGCTCGTGTTTCGGACAGACGATGAAGAGACGTTGAACGGAGCTCGATAACAACCTCGGCTAGTTTCTCGAGGTGGTATGTTCGTGTGGAGAGAGATTTGAGCTTGGAATCTGATGTGATGTCTCCATACTTATCGAAAATGCTCTGAAGAGTGGAGGAGAGTCTAGCTTTAACTTTGTATTCTCCGACCGAAACAACGTCGGACAAATCAGAGGTTTTGATCACAAGAGAGTTTTTCAATGGTGACAAAAAAAGCTCAGGGTAGAGTAGAACAGAGTCTTGGTCGTGATCATTGAAAACAGAGTATGCTCTGTTCCAAAGAGGAACAGAATGTAGAGTGATCTCTGAACATGTACTCATATCTTTTTTAGTTTTTTTGCTTGCTTACAAAACAAAAAGCTAGATGTGTTATGTTTCTCTTTGAAGTTGTGTTCCTCAATCTCTCTTTTTAAAGACGTTTATTTCAAAGTTGTATAGATTTTTTAGTAGTTTTAAAGTTGTATAATATTTTACTGTTTTTCTTGGAGTTTGCAACGATTATGACTTTGACTCGATATAATCATCACTATGATCGCGTTCTTGACTTTGTCAACCTTCTCCGTTTTGGGTAGTATATATTTTCTTCAAACCAAAGGAACCAAAAAGAGATACAAAACGAGAAGAAGTCATAGTCTCGGAGATTTGTGGAAACTCAAAGCCAAAGTTACCAAGAAGGTGCGTCAAAGTCTTCAAGATCAAAATTCACAAAAAATAGATTTTCTCATTAGTGAGAAGATGATCCTAATGGGTGCCACGCTTTACGCCAATTTAAAAGCTCTGGAGTACTCGACGGTGGCCCTCATCTTAGAAAAATTAGTCGGATAGTAAAAGTTCATATCACCCCGGTTCATAATAAAAATTGAGGCCTACTTTTGCTAAACGAAACTCCATAATTGAATTTTGGGTGTATACAATACTCCCAAATTAAAAAAGACGATTGGTCTATGGTCGATTCAGTAAAAAAAAAGAAATTCAAATTGATAGTCGTACCTCGTGAAATGAAGACCTTTTTTGTCGAATTAAGCACTTTCTTATCTTTCTAAAAGAAAAGAAATTTGGTTTTTTTTTTTATATTGAAGTAAACAAATATGTCATGGTTGNAGAAGTCTATACATCGCATATAAGCTTTAAGAATATTGTGGCATAACCATCCAGGTGACGCATGACCTAAAAGATCGAATGGAACAATACATAGACAAATAAATCCCGTATGAATTCTAAGGCATTCCTTTAACTTAAGGTAAAGAGTCTTCCAGCATTCGAAGGGAAGTAGACTACTCAAGAATTTNATATTTTTTCTGTCGTAATTTTGAATTCACTAAAGAATCTAAATAGAAATCAAAGAAGAATTAATTGAATGGAAGAC